TAAAATAATAATAATAATAATAATAATAATCTCTGAAAAATAATCGGGTTTAAGGATCTGATAAATTATTGTATTTACACATATATAATTCTTGTAATCATTCGTGATCGATATAATTCGATATAATAATTGACATATTAATTATGATATCAAACAATGATGAACATTTTTGTCTACTTTCCAAGTACACTTCTAAAAAATTAATCATATTAATCACATTTTATTGTAAGGACCAAAATATATTGCTAAACTTGAAACTTTGACGAAATAGATGAAATGAACTTTGAAAAAAAAAAAAAATGGTCGACGTGTACTCGCAATGGAAAATAAAAAAGAAAAAATGTAAAAAAATAATATTAAAAAGCAAGAAGAAAGAGATAAAATAACATGTAAACGAATCGTAATAATCTTGTTATATTTTCAATTTCATTATTTTGTTGTCTTACAAATCGAGAAGACGAAACTTTAACGGTCGATATAAAGAAGAAGAAGAAGAAGAAAAAAAGAAAAGAAAAAAAAATATCTATTATTATTATTATTATTTATAGATTTAGGAAAAGATGCGCCTAGTGAATGTGTGATCGTAAGTTAATTTGTACGTCATATAATTGTACGTTACGTTAGTTCGCGTTTTTCTTTTTCTACGTGTTGTTCCTCTTGTATCTGCGAAGATAAAAAAACCTATTGTTTTTTTAATTATTATTATTATTATTATTATTATTATTATTATAATCGATCACGGAACTTTAGTCTCTGTTTTCACCTGATAATAATTGAGAAATGTTAGAGAAAGATGTGATTTTAAATGAAGAAGAAGTAGAAGATGATGATGGGGTTGTGTGAAAGAGTAGAAAAAAGAAAAAAAAATAACGGGATGTTGCGTTGTACAATATGTTCTGTAAATTATTGATTACGAATACGAAGGTGTGCGATGATACAGTATATATATATATATATATATATATATGTATATATATATATGTATATATATATACTTATGTATGTAGAAGACCATTTACGATTTACAGTAGCACGAAAGTCATATATTATATGAACGATATCTAATATATTAAAAAGAAAAATTAAGTTATATGCGATAAACGTAAAGAAAAAAAAAAAGAAACAAAAAAAAAAAAAGAGTTGTCATCTATCGATTTTTCTACCCCTTATATCCTTTAATCAATGATCCTTTACGTTACGACAATGATCGATAATACAAAACGAATTGCAATTTGGTGTTTAAAATATAAAAAGATAGTACAAGACGAGATAATAACTATCGAGATCATTTCCGTGGGTTGGAATAAAATAGATAGAAGGGGGTTTGAGTTTTTCTTTCCTTTTTCTTCTTTCCCTATGATTTATCTTAAAAAAGAAAAAAAAAATTGGATAAAATTCTAAGTCCTTCTCATAACACCGATACAACTAACACCACCGGTTCCCCTTTTTATTTTCCTTTTATCATCTCGTAACGGTGATTCTTTTCAAGATAGATGATTTCCTTTTGAAAATAATAGATAATAGTTTTTTCGGATAAGATGATGCACTTAAACGTTTGCTTTTTACCTTTCCAAGTGGATCAACTAATTGGATCTTAAAAAAAGGTTTTCCTCGAGTGGTCTTAAGGGGTTTGAGTAAAAGTGACAAAATGGGTTGTTGAGTTTGATGGGATGAGATAAGTTTAGATGAGATGAGATGGAAGAGAAAGAGAGTGGTCACGAAACTGAAAAGCACGTTGTTGTACTCGTTGTCGTTGTCGTTCTCGTTGCCAAGCACAATGCATACGAAGACTGATCCCTTCGAGTTACGATCGATAAGTTGACAAATTGTGTGTGTGTGTGTGTTGCGATGTAGGTCAATCGAACGACACATTGGTCGAAAGAAGAATGTTTGCAAGCTCATTCGAACGGGACCTTGATTAACGTTGCCAAATACCCTCCAAATAACATCTCGATGAACAATTATCTTCTTATCGATAATTATTAATTATCAAATCATCTTATTAGTCAACCAGAGAAAGAGAGAGAGAGAGAGAGAGAGAGGAAGAAGTTCGTAAGTTTGGAAAAAATTCATATTTCCAATGTAAATCTTACAAAAACAAAAATAATTCTTCATTATATTATGCAGTTTCAAAGTTAAATTTTCAAACAATAAATGCACGTATACTTTTGATTCATTCTAATATTTTATCTTTCTATTATCTTTTTTGTGTTTTAAACATACACACGCGTACGCGCATTTATTCTAATCAGAAAATAATTCGATGACGTTGTCTCATTTGAAAAATTGTTTCCATTTGTAATTAATTACAATTCGTAATTTATCAATTTGTCTTTTTAATTTATCTTCTTTTTTCAAAGTTTTTATAAATATACGCGAGGAGTTTAAACAATTTAAAAAGCTTAAAGTAGAAATAATTGTACGTTCCTTTTTTTTCTTTTTCTTTTTTTCGAAAATCAAATTAACATGTTATTTTTCGTCGTAGTCGTTAAAACTTTTTAAAAAAGACTAACGTCAAAACTTTTTCATTGATACTCTCGTTATATATTATATAAATAATTAGAGATGTCATAAGTTAATTGCTTTGATCGCTCTGATATAAATAGATGTAATATATTAACACTTTTTTTTACATTTTATTTATAACAAACAAGTTAACGATGTCTGATTATCACATTAACATTATTTTGTTTTGTTTTATAAATTCACGTCTCATTTTCTACACGTTCGTATGAATAAATATCTTCATTACGTATATGTTATTGTTATTAGTTTTGCTATTACATAATCGTGTAATTAGTTCGTATTCTGTATTACAAATTTAAAATCGAAGTATTGTTCGTTGCATTATGCAACTACCACGCATTTACAACAGCTGTGTTGAGTAAAATTTCGAAAGTTAACTTCTCTTCTCTTGTAACACTTGAAAGTTATTCTAAATTAATAATAACATTCTATCATTTGAAGCGACACGTTATTTTTACAATTAATGATTTATCATCATTATAGTCAGAAATTATTCTTCGTTTTACGCAATCGCGTTTTTTTATAAATTATTTCTTATATCCACTATTATTTATTAAACGTTTAATGGAATATTTGGCAAAAAATTTCGATTGATAAATTATATTAAATATTAATAACGATTAATGTTTTAACAATTGTTCCAAATATCATTAGAAATCGTATCAATAAATGATCATAATTTACTTTATTTTATCTTTTACAATAATTAGAAAAGATGTCACATATTTCGCGTTGAAAATTTTTCATATAACATTTCTATAGAAATACATTTTCGTATGGATTTGAATTTGATTTGAAAAATATACGTTTATAATACATATAATTATTTATTTCTTTAAGTTATATTCTCCTTGATATTATTATTATTTTATTGTTATTGATGATAAAAGTACTGTTTTAAGTTAAATTCTATACATATATAAATATATAATTTTACAAGTATTTAAATAAAGATAAATATATATAAATATAGGTACACGTGAAAGAGATAGAAAGCATTTTAATCGACTTCGTTAAATCGTCGAATGATCAGTTCTAAATTGTTACCACTATCGATCATTAGCTTAGCAACTTCT